AGGCTCCAAAAAGCTAACAAAAAGTCAAGTGCTTATCAGGAAGATGCAACTTCTATTTATTTGTATTTTAAAATCACCACACATGAAATTCTCTACAGAGCTATAGGGATGTGTGTGTCTCCACCGAAGCACAGACCCATAAAATCGTTTTGGCTGTAGTACTATGGCACTCCTTCAGAGTTTTTTTTGTGCGTAAACATTTAATCCATAGACTAATGTTTTCCCCTTCTTCCACTGTCATTCGTGGGTTCCCATGCTCCCTGTTTTCACAAGCTGTAACACTCCTTTCCAGCGATAGACACAGGGTTTTCTCTTAATATGGACAGAGAATGTAATTCACACTGGAGACTTCATCTCCTTTTTTCTTTGCCTAGCATTAAGTCTTGGCAAATACTCGCCTATAAATTTCTTCTGTTTATTTTGTCTCTTTGTGTCCCCTATCTTTATTTGTTCCATTTTGTGATAAGATTCAAGAATTCCACAGACTCCCCTAAAGTCCAGATCAGTCATAAAAGTTAAGGAATATTTTCAATTCATTGATAATCTGTGTGACAGAAAGCAGCTTTCACATGCTTAAGCAGAATGATTGTCTTTAAAAACCCAACGATAAGTGTTAGAACAGTATTTAAAGAGGAAAATAAAGAATCATATGGTATTCTTGAGTCATTTATTTTTGGAACCACTAGAATCCATGGGTTTTCCTTGAAGAAAAGTAATTCACCTTGCCTTGTTAATTTATTATTAAATTCCTTATCCATGTTCTTCCTTATCCATGTTATTTTTATCTGCTTACATTTCAAATTAGTTTCACAGGAAACAAATTTGTCTTTTAGAATGCAGTTATATAAAAGTTTGTAAAAAAAAAATTTAAATGTAATGTTAACATTCTGTTCTGCCCAAGGAGAACAATTTATCATAATATTTGTCGGTGGTATTAATAATGTCACCTTTTCAGGTGTGTTTAAGCATACTTAACACATGGCATGGGAGGCCAGAAGAGAAATGGAATCCTCAAACATCAAGTTTTTTGCAGGTAAACATTTCTTCTTTCTCTTCAGTAATGCCGTTTAGGAGTACAAAGTGGTCTGTCAGTCCTAAGGACTCTTTTCCTAGTGCTTTTAAATCAGAATTTTCTTAAATAAGCATAAATAAGACGAAAGTCCAGAAAACGTCCTTGGAACACTAGAAAAAAACACTGTAGAGTAGACAAGTTCTTCAAAGTGCTTTTTTCAAGCAATGCTTCTATTGGTCTTGTCTCGGAGACTGGCTGCTCATGTGTGCAGCTCGTTCCTGCACTGCCTGGACTTTGCTTGGATGATTTCGAACGTTTTATTTGGAAAAAAAAAAAAAAAAAAAAAGACTGGAAGATAGCATCACCTCCTAGAACTCATGTAATGTCTCTATCACAAGCTATTTATGTTGAAGACAAAGCAGGCTCCATGCTGTGAAAGATGAGGAAGCGAATTATGGTAGTGCAAACTGTAAAGGCACTCCTCCAGAGTCTACAAGTAAGCCAAATAGAGGAATACAGCTGAAGGGAGCTAAAGCATAGGTATAATGTATTCAATAACAATTAGTGTTAAATTAGATCAGAATTTGTTAGGACATACGGTTCTTATAATTTTCAGCTTTATGTCATAGAAATGCACTGACTAATAAGCACATAAAGTAAAAATAAAGCTTGCAATGGCTTATTTTCTGTGGCACTTTCTGAATTTATTCCTTCCTTGGAGTAATCATTACAAAGCAGAAGGCACATTTTCTGTTCCAAATGCTAAAAGATGGTACAGCTTCTCTTTCAGCATAGTAGAATTACAATCCTGACCTTTGGCAGAACAGATTTCAGGTTGTTTGGGAATTGGCCTTGGAGAGCTGGTTGACCAGTCTCCTAAAAGTTTAAGAATGGCCTATTCCAGGGTGTGCCAGTCAAGCAGGAGTGGCAGAAAGCCAGCATGGGGTAAACAAGGAACTCCTGCCTGAGCTCAACTGCGAAAAGAATGCGTATGGAAGGTGGAAGGAAGTGATGGGCTGCTCATTAGAAAAACAGACATGGGCCAAGCATTCAGGAGAGAAGTTAGGAAACGAGAAGTACTTCTTACAAGTATGTTGGCAGCAAAAGACCACGTTTTCCTTAGGCTTCCCTGCTGCTCAGTGGGGCAGGGAACCTACCGACAAGGACACAGAAAAGGCAGAGGTCATCTCTGCCTCACTCTTTAGGGGTAAGGTTTTCTTTCCTGTGTCCCCAAGCCCTCACTAGGAAGGTTTGTGAGAATGAGGAATTATCCACAGTAAACTGTATTCAAGCTGATTGAACCCACAGGCTCATGGAAACAAATCTCATGCATCCAGGGGTGCTGAGAGAGCCAGCCAATGTCACCGCAAAGCCATCAGCCCTCGTCTTTGAAAGGTCAGAACAATCAAGGGAGCTACCTGGCCACTATCACACTCAGCTTCAAGTACAAGCAAGAAGAAGGATCTGGGGAGCTGCAAGCTGGTCAGCAACACCCAGGTCCTTGGGAAGTAATCCATAATTGGAGCAAATCCTCCTGGAAGCTGTTTTCCAGTACATGAAAGACAAGAAGGTGATAGAGAAGAGCCACTGTGGATTTACTGGGGGTGAACAGCACCTGTCTAACCTGCTTGCCTTCTACAAGGAGGTAACAGGCTCTGCACAAAGGAAGAGCAGTGGATGTAGCTTACTTTGACTTCAGGAAGACCTCTGATGCAGTCTACCTTAGTACCCTTGTAGCCAAATCACTGAGATGTGGATTACAAGTGGGTGAAAAAGTAGCTGGACCAATGGCAAAGAGATCTTACTGATGAGATCTTACTGAGAGGTCTTCCCCTAAATGGAGAAGGTATAGAGAAGATGGAGCCAGACACGTCTTAAAGATGCAGAGCATTAGGACAGGTACCAGTTGACACAAGATAGGACATGGGAAATTTCCTCATTAGGAAAAAGTTTTTCCTAATATTTAATCAAAAACTTTTTCACAACTATAAGGATGATCAAACAGTAGGACAGCTGTCCAAGACACACTATGGAATTTCCATCCTTGGAGGTATTAATGCTCCCTCTCCCTTCAGGGGACAGTTCTGATTTGGAGGTGTAAGTTGAGGTTCCTTACATAGTTGTCACTTTCCCAAGATACAACTTCTTAAGCAAAGAACTGAAATTTTGAACTATAACTATAAAATTAGTGTAGAAGGGTACAAGTATTATGAAGTCTTATGTTCACTAAAGTCCTTCTTCTTAGATTAAAATGTTAGATTTGATTGTCAGAAATCTCATGCAACATTGAAGTTTCAAATTGTAAAGGGTGGGTTTTTATAGGGTTTCGTTTTGAAAACAGAAAAACTGTTAGAATATGTTCCCCCCTATACTGGGAGAAAAAAAAAAACACTTTGTGGCTTTTAAATGGAAAACAGCTGTAGGACTAAATAAATTGCTTGGAAAGAATTAAGCACTACATGTTTTCTCTGGCTCAAAGATTAAACTATTGTCAGACCACCCAAAATACTTCAGAAATTAAATTTTATGACCCAAATGAAACTTGGAAGATCAGTTTAGAGTTTCTCATTCATTGCAATTATAATTCAAAGTAACAACTCGTTATTAAGACCAAGAAAGTACAATGTTGCTTAGTACCAAATTTCTCAACCATAGCTATTTAGAAATACATATATATCTAAAATATAAAATGTAAAAATCAAAACCCAACTACTTCCAGACACATGTAAAGGCCAAAGATCACCAAAACACCTTATGTACCTGAAGTGTTGAAGCTGAAGTACTCTGCCTTGGCTTAGCACATTTGCATGAATACTCTGCCTTTTCAGTGTCATGAGCGGGCATTTTCTTTCTGGGACCTGATTTCTGACACAGTCTGTCTATTTTAATGCATTTATGGTTTGCATAATGTTTTGCATTCCACCTCCCTTACTCCTTTTCCATCTAGTTCAGAATTAGACAAATTAGTAAGCTCAGCCACAGGTAAAGTTCAAGAACTGTTGACTGAGATCTTGACAAATAAATTTACATTTTCTTTCACAAACGGGTGCAATCAGACATCTCTTCCTTTAAACATTTTCTTTTTCTTATAATTGTCATTTGCTCAGTCGTAGGACTTTGATTTTATGTATAGTAGCAGTTTCAGTTGGAAAGCATGGATATACCCTACTTGCAAGTAGCTTGTTTTACAAATGACAGTACGTTGCCGGAGAAGTGGGTCTGCATATGAGCTATGCCAAATTATGTATATTTGTAAAAACAAATGGGTGGCACAAGTTTAATATTTAGTTTCTTCTCTTAACAGGTGTTAGTGTCTGTCCAATCCCTAATACTGGTAGCAGAACCGTATTTTAATGAACCGGGTTATGAACGATCCAGAGGTACTCCGAGTGGTACCCAGAGCTCCAGAGAGTATGATGGAAATATACGACAGGCAACAGTCAAGTGGGCAATGCTTGAACAAATCAGAAATCCATCGCCGTGTTTTAAGGAGGTAGGTTTTGTGAAAGGCAATACATATCTTGTTTATTTACTTATCTTGTCTCAATGTTAAGAATAGTGCAAATATTTGGAAACATCATGCACCAGATGTCCGTTACAGCCTCTTCTTTATTCCCTGGGGCAACTGACTCTAGAGACTGAAGTGAATAAGGATGCACCTGACTTCACAGATTCTTTTCTGGAAGAGGGGAATGTGCACGAATTGGGACTGACGTGTAAGGAGGCCTGGTGCACGGTCTGACAAAACATGGTTCATACAGCTTGGCTCATTCTTTGTGCCAGGTGGTACCTCGTACATTTCACGTGAAAGCTGCTGATCAGCCCTACAAACGGGCACTTGCGGTTTGTTAGTCGGCATAGCTAACGGGAAGTATTTTCCCAAGAAATGTGGACTTGAAGCAAGTATTAGGAAGCACTTTGGATACACTAAAATTATGCAAATTGGAAAAACGCTTTAAAACAAATACCAGCCTGAATGTTATTTACGGAAGGATGCACAAAGCGTCTGTGCTAAACTAGAAATCTGTGCCTTGGAAAACAACTGTCTGGATGCTGATGCAAGTAATACTAACCTTAATGCCTTCACGCTATCTTAAAAATCTTATTTGGAAGATACCAAATTGGTTTACATTCCTGAAAATAGGCTAACTCACCCGTAACATCATAGAATAATTTAGTTGTTAGGGACTTCTCTCAGTGTCTCTAGTCCAACTCCTTTCTTGAAGCTGGTCAATTAGATCTCAGGGACTTGGTCAAACAGGAGTCAGCTCACGGTACTACCAGCAAATACTTAGAGGAAAACACATTTTACTCTGAACTATGAAAACTGTTGCCACTTCTAAATTGAGATGTGGAACCACTTTGTAGCATCACCTGTGCTTTCGATTGTCTGTGTATTACAGTGCTGAAAAAGCAAAATTGTTTTAGGATTATGTACAGTAGTGCTAAGCGTGGCATCTGAGTGAGAGGGTAGTCTCCCGTCTCTTCCTTGCTGTCTGTAAAAACATCCTTTGGAATGCAAAAGTCTTTTTCCATTAAAATTACTGTGTCTTGCGGAATAAGAAACCATAGACACTTCACCTGCATGACAGGAGTTAAATATTTTATCCATGTGCCGGTGGAAAAGGATGTGCAGTGTACTCTGGTGTCTTGAATTAATGAAGAACAACACAATGGTTGTTCTAAATTACCTCTTAAATGTTTACTCAGTAAGTTGAAGACCACAGTAAAGATAATATTGTGACACATAATCAAATAGCTCTGCTAATAGGATTTTTCTAGCTAAATGTAACAATTTCACTTTTATAAAGAAAGTTCTCAATTTACAGTAAATTTAAATTAATAGAAGATATCAGAAGGTGGTGGGCTCCCTGACAGTAATTCTCCATCCTTCTTTTCACGTATACAGAAATTAAGGATGTTTTTATTCCAGTATTTGGTAAATGAATCCCAGTTTGCCGTTATTGCACTTTTCAAAAGAATCGCAGCAATACTGTGCTTACTCTGCAGCTTAGATTTTTTACTACTTGTACGAAAAAGGCAGCTTGTAAGCTGACACCCTGCCCCTCTTCAGGAGGGCGAAGGAGGAGGGTGTACCCAAATGGTGGTGTTTCAGTGGAAAACCAGTCATTCCCTGGGAACGGATGACTTACGCATAGCACATTGTTACCAAAAGGCAGATGTTGAAAACAAAACAGCTGGCTCTCTAAATGTGGTGTGCAGCTGGCACTGAGTTCAGCGAAGCCACACATGCACACGTAAATGAAAAGTGGCATTAAGAGGTAGACAGCAGTTTGCAGAGGTATCCTGAACATTTGAAACTCCCTTCTGCTACCTGTGAATAGGCAGAGTTTTGCTGCACAGAAGAAAACTGGCCAGCACTTGAAAGCTTTGCATCCAAATTGTTTCCTTTTGGTTTAGGTAACTGCAGTTTTCCTCATTTCCCGAGGTACCATTTTCTGTTTTTCCCTGTGTTGAGGTCTTTAGGACAGTATGACAAAATCCTCAAGCCTGCTTCTGTAAGAAGTTAAGAAGTTTGAGGCTAAGATAGCTCACTTTTGTGTTAAAATCACAATCATACTAGTTTAAGCTTGGGGTCCTACCCAGTGCCTTGTCAACTGCTTCCTGAATACATATTCCCTATCATTATGTAAAGTAGCATGTATCTTTCTTTATATATCAAAAAACTGAAATTACGCACGCGAAAGCATTACGTTTCCTCTGCTGCAACAGCTGAATTTTGGAAGAAGGCCAGATTCCGTCTGCAGCCCTGTGCATCACTAGCATAGATTATCTGAGCACTTCTCTCGGAGACTAGCTTGTTGTTAAGACCTGTAGGTTTTTTGTAGGATTGTGTTAGGAGCCTTAACAGTGATGGTTATTCAGTAACATAACAATGCAAAGGCATCCTGGAAACTGAGGTCTAAGAATGCACGTGCATCCTTCAGCTCCCGAGAGCTTTTGTCTTCACAAGTCTGAGCTGTCTTCCCTTCAGTGTCTTAAATGACAGGTAGGCTCAGGAGATCTAAACTGCCAGTCTTTGGGGTTCTTCCAAGCTCCGTTATGGATATAAGGAATGTATCCAGAATTTAAGTCAATTATGCTTTCAATGTGCAGTTTTTCTTTAGACAGATAGCTGTATTCCTAACCTCTAGAGGGAAAGATGATTTTGTCAATTATGTTGCAATATTGCCAAGAACTCTCTGTGCTCAATAAAATTTCTGTTCATTATACTGTTTCTTTCACCAGGCAGAGTTTTAGCAAACGGTTTAAGACAAAGCCAACACTAAGCAGAGTTTCACAACTTTGTCTTAGTTGATTGGTTGGTTTTTTTTCTAAAAAAAAAAAAACTCAAATCTGTACAGAAATACCAAAATTACTGGTGTAACTGGGGAGCTCAACTACTACTGCCTGGGAATTCTAGTATCCCCAGAGGTGCTGCCTCTGCCCGGGGACTGTAACTGTGGTTGTACCTCTTCCGTAGCAGCTGGTATGGTCCTCCTTCTCTGTGCAGAAGCACGCGATGTTGCTGTGCTCACACTGTTGACAGTGTTTCTCCTTACTGTTTTCTGTTCAGGCAGCAAGTGGTTAGTGCCAGGGAAGACATGGGGCACATACTTCCCACTTAGGATTCTTTAATAAAATAGGACTGTGAAACCAACAATAGAAGCTTTAACATGGTATCTGTGTAACCCTGCCCCTACGCAAACGTGAATGTCCATACGTAGTGCCTGCATAGTAAGATCATCTTTGAGCCGGAGAACGCGTCTAACGTTCTGCTGTCACTTTTTCTTTTCCATGGTGTGATACTGTATTTCTGGCTCTCCTTTGCCCTTCACCCAGATACCGCAAACGAATGCCGAAATGGCAGACTGCACGTAAGTCCTAGCTGCGTACAGACTGGAAGAGATGTCCAGGCCAACCTCCTCCTCAAAACAGGATCAGCCGAGTTCAGACCAGGTTCCTCGGGGCTTTTTCCAGTTAGGTTTTGGAAATCTCCAAGGACAGAAATTCCACAATTTATCTGCAGCCTGCTTCAATGCTGAATTATCCTCGTGCTGATTTTTTTTTTTTCTCCTTTATATCCAGTTAGACTGACAGGGTTCTTGCAAATTTTGTATTGTTAAAGTATACCGTTTTTAGAAAAAAATGAACACTGTTCTTTCATTCGGAATATTTTCTTGCAGGTCATCCACAAACATTTTTACTTGAAAAGAGTGGAGATCATGGCTCAGTGCGAGGAGTGGATAGCAGACATACAGCAGTACAGCAGTGACAAACGGGTAGGCAGGACTATGTCCCATCACGCAGCAGCTCTAAAGGTGAGACTTGCTTTTTGAATTTCATGTTCTTTAGTCCAAAGATGACAAATGGCAATGAAATTACTCAGCAGGTAAGTTTTATAATTACAATAACAGAAAACCCCAGGAACTTTAAAACACATTAAAAAAAAAAAATAAAATCTAAGTTTCCCAACTGTCAAGAGATAAAGTGTATGTGCACTCTGCTTTTTCAGGATCTTTTTCTACAAGTTAGATTTTCCTTCAGTGCCTCTCCTGCCTGTTTGTCTATAAATTCTTATGTAAGATATAGAGAGTTTATTTTGTTCTCTCTAAGGCTGGGTGGGGGTTTATGATAAAGTTGTACTACAACCAGTTCCGTGCCAGAAAACAAGCTTTTTGACTAGATAAGCACAATTATTAAACTGTGGTCCATTACAATTAGCTCTTCTCTATGTTAAACTTTTATCAGTTATAACCATTACAGTGTTCTCCTTCGTTCCTAGCCAAGTACTATCGTTTGTGTGGTTTGTGCCCACACAGACAACAGACCTATATTATTTTTATATTTATTTGCTTTCTTCCTCTGAGAAACAAAAAAAAGTTTTAAAGGCTGCGTTTTTTCTATTGCTAGACTTGCATTCCTTGAACGTGACTGGTCTTCCAAACGAAGTTACTGTTAGTACAAATGTCTGTGTATGTGCCTGTAACAGATCTCATGGAGACCGTGAACTCTTTATAAATGTACATTTTGACTGTATGATCAACTTAGTCCAGGCCAGGTTCTCCTGTGATCACAGAACACAGATAAGACTCAACTGCAAGATAAACAGCGTGGTGTTCATATCGATGCACTTGTTTGCTGCAGGTCTGTTTACTGCCTTTAATTTGTCCCGAGCAGCACTTGCTAATTGTTCTGTCACTACAAGGAAAGTAGTGATCCTTAAATACAGGGGAAAAGCTTATCCAGATAGTCATTGAAATGGTACATTCACACTTTTTCTGTTTACTCCTTTTTTCGCCTTATGTTGTCTTAACATTGTGCAAAGTATTAACTATGCTCTTCCATGCCGACTTCTTTTTGTATGTTCAGCGTCACACAGCTCAATTGCGGGAAGAACTTCTAAAACTTCCCTGTCCTGAAGGACTAGATCCAGACATTGACGACTCCACGGAAAAATGCAGTGCCACGACGAGTTCAGAAGAGACCATGTTCCACGAACAGGTTAAGCCCAGCAGCAGTAAAGATATCCCCACCGATTTCAAGTTATGAGTTGCATTGACATGGACTTTCTAGACACAAAGGCTTTGAAGCACAAGCCAAATATGTCAATATTTGTATGTAAGAAGCTAATTATGTAATAGGTAATGAAATTGAAACTATACTATGCCCTTAAGGATATACAGTTTAATTCAAGATGATCTTTTATTTACCTGTACAAGAGTGTAAACTTTTTTGTGCTTTTATTTTTCAATTGTGAGAACCACTGATTGGTATGTTTAAAAAGTTATGTATACAAGAAATGGATAAATCACTGATATATAAGGGAAACTACCTTAGGAAAGAATGTTTACTGAATGTTTATTATTTTTTTTTACTTGTAGAGTGAGGGCGGTTGTAACAAAGAATATATATTGGTCATTCTTACAGCTACTATTTAAAGTCAGAAAATTTTCACGGAATTTGATAGATTTTACGTTTGGCCATATATTCATGCTCATATTTGATTCGAAAGAAAACCTCCTGTATACTTCAATAAACGTTAAATGGACATGATCCCTCTTTTATGATTTACTGGTACATTTTTTTAAATAAACTGCCATAAAATACGTTCTAGCTGAAGACTTGCACTTGTATGACTGAATTCATTACAGTCAACATATTTAATTTTATGCTTACTAATTCTAAAATGCAGATGAAATAAATGCACATGGTTTTACCTCATGCCAAAATTCGGACTTCTGAATTCATCTTTTGTTTGGCTGCTTTGTGCAAACTAACAGTATTCTAAATTTCTTAAGGGCTATTCTGGAACAAAGTCTTGTCTCTGTCTGATTTTTACATAATCAGCTGTACTCTTAAGTACTGACAGGGGCTAACGACGTGCCACACAGGGCTCTAACGTTCTGTAGTTCTTACTGTACAGACTTACTTCCAATTTTATACTTGCAACCACAGGTCCCTAACTAAAAAGGGTAAGGGATTTGCTTGATTTAGTCATCAAGTCTCGCTTTTAACGTAACATGCATTACTATCACTGTTCTTAATTTTTGAGGCAGTCCTTGAAGGACTAAAAAGTTATTACTGGTATTACCTCAGACTAATGATCTGTTGTATTATAAATACTATAAATCAGGCAAAACCGAAGCTTTTTTGTTTTCTATTTGTTCTTTGTTTATAAGTATCACGCTGGAATTTTTTCACTTTTTGTTTTACAATGTATTACTTCTGATCATTAAAAATGGCACCAACTGAGGTCGTGTTCTTATGCTGATGGTTGACAGACTTCGACAGTTCTGACCAAAGTATGATTTTTCTGTTGGATTGATGTGTTGTGCTAATCCAAGGCCTGTCCTGATTGTACATACCTCTGAAAATACCAACTTGGACACGTCTGCGGTACTTCGGGGGATCCTTAATGAAAGAGCAAAACAAGCAGCTCTGTGGCAGAGCTGCTGGTAAATTCATGCAACAAAGAGTTTATGCTGTATAGTCGAAGTGTTAGAACTTCACCCGTGTTCTAAAAAAGCAGCACTGCGTTTTTTTCTAGGTGGGTACTTAACTTCGATTACTGTACAAAATGACTGTGATACTCTTGTAAAGGCTCCAAAAGCAAAATTACCTGCTGACTTCCAATGATATTTGAGTTAGTGGTTTCCATTAAAGCTTTTTGTTTAGTGCTTAAACTGTCTGCCTACAGGAACATAGTCTTTTTATGAAATCCTGGCACTTGTACCAAAACCAAATGTATCAGACCTGAAGATCCTCCTTAAACGTGAAGACTTTTTACCATTTAAAAAATGACACTGAAATAAAAAGTACCTAACTTGCATTGATTTGACATTAAGAGGGTGGCTAACATGATTGTACCTGTTTCTCTAGTGTGTATTTATGGTATCATAGCAATGCTAATGTGAAGTCACTGCTGCTTAATTAAGCAGATGTAAACAGCTGCATGGGATATTAAACTCTTAATTTGTATTCATGTACGAATTAGCATTTTTTTGCTCTAGCCTGAGCTAGAACGGTATTGTACCAAATTCATGCAGAGATTCAATCCTTAACAACTTGCAACTATTTTACAGTCTAGTAAGTAAATTGTGAATTTGGCAACAGATACAAAATAGGTATTTTCAGTTTTTTTGATGTAACACACAAGGTAGCTATGTTACTTTGCAGTAAAATCACAGTAAATCCTATGAGGTATGTAGACAACAGTTTTGTTTTTTTTTAAGCAGTTCCCTTCGTCTTTTACCATTTTATCAAACTGAATTGAAACCCGTATAGATATCTCACAGTTTCTAGCCATTACATTGAAGTTCTGTGTTTTAATTGTTACGCTGGTTTTGTAGGAAAAAAATAGCAAACTGCTAATTAGCTCGTTATGGAATTTTACCCCATGGGTTCTGGGTACTGCCTTTGGCCCATGGCTGACATTGCCATGCAGTAGAGTGGGATGTTACCAGCCATTGGAATCGCTGTAGCCACTCTGCTGAAGGAAGAGCGCACCACATAGTAAGTCAAGTGTTTCCTGACACTTCACCAACAATAATGCTGAGCTTTTCTACTCATTGCCTCGCCACTCTCTACTGAAGAGGGAACAGCTCAGCAACCTGAGAGACCTTGTGCTCCAGGAGAGCAAACCACTTGTCATACTGATTGCTATGCACAAACAACTGTTCTGCTTCACAGCTGGAGACACAGTGCTCTTCGTATACAGACGTGAATGATAGCTCTCCAAGATTTAGTGGTTTCCTCTGGAATTTCCCTTGGGTAAAAGATGTGCATAAACGTATGGATTAATGCTCCTCTGTAATCCTACCAGTGCTATAAAGGGGAAAAAAAAAAGATGACAATCTAGAAAAGAAAAACAAGAAAAACTGAAACATAAGAACCCTGTAGACAACTTGAAGTTTCACTCCAGTAATTACTTGTTAGATGTTTAGACACGAGCAGAATAAAGTACCTGGGTCTATAGATTGACTGGGTCTACAACAACCCGTTTGGCGTTGTTGGTTGGGTTTTGTTACTGTTTTTCTTCTCTATGACAGAAAGTCAAGGTAGAGACTGTGCACATCTGCCAGCCTATCGGGGAGGCTCCCTTGCACCAGGTAAAACAATGCAACACAGGTAAGGCACTGGACTACTGAGAGCTTCTAGGGAGCTTCAGTGGGGGTCTGTCATCAGTACTGCGGTTGGATGCTGATCTATTGAGCAAGTAGAACTTGAATTCTTTACTTCATAAAAAAAAATTACCCATACAATACAGGAAATAAATGTACTGCTTATGTGGCTTTAACGTCTGGTGGCGATATCAAATAGGGCATTCAGTTTCTGGCAGGAATCGCATTGTTAAGAAAACATTACCACAAAACAGTATATTTTTCCATGCAATTACATAATCCTATACATAGGATGTTTGTTAGGGGAGCTTTTCATCCCCAAAATGTTTCTGGTGTTAGATAAAAAACTGTTTTATTTTACATCCTGAGGCAAACAACTTGATAAGCAAACAACCATATTATTAATTTACCTTGTTTACCCGTAAATATCTGAACACAAATCCAGCTGACCTACATTTAAGATGGGAGTGTACTGCGTTACTCTGATCCTTGAGAAGGAGAATTATTTAGGCTTAGGTTTTCAGTTGGAGTTTCTCAGGCATGTCGTCTTCATTTTTCACCTCCATGCTGCCTTTGTATTAGTGTTGTTTAGAAGCGTTCTTTTCTCGTTTCTCCAGAAGCCGGTAACCATCACATGGACTCACCTCCCTGGACTGTCAACTCCCTGTAGTTATAAAACAGAAATTAGAAGCATTTTTCAATGGAAAGGAGACAGAGATTTGCATTTATCTTACCATAAGAAACAAGCGTAAGGTAGATACACTATTTCAAATATATGAAATATATCTGACATATATTTATTTTTTCAATAATTTATTATTTTTTTACCATATATATACACACACATACATATTTGTATAAATGCATCAGGTCTGGCAGTTAATTGTCTTTGAAAAACAGTTTTCTGAGCTTTATTTTCCCTCTTTTTTTCCATAGATAGTGACATTAGGTGGAATGCGCAGGCATTTATATCAGAACATGAGCTTTCTGAAATACAGTGAGCTGAATGGGGGTAAAAGTAAGTTCCACAATTATTAAATTGAATCACAGGTAAAAATATTTCATTCTCCAGAGATTTTGTTCTTGCTGTTGTTTTATTATCCTAGAACATGAATGCAGAAAATACAATATCTACCCAATGAATTACTATAGTAGAGCTCTAAAATAATCTCACCACTGTCTCTGTTTGTAATAAAGGGTCAGAGGAAGCAAATCCCAAACCACACTGCTCCACCTTGATTGAGGGAGTTCTGCATATTCTGACCTGTCATCTCTGCAGGCTGCCATCTCTTCTTTTCTGTGCTTCTTGCCTCAGAAGCAACTTTTTGGCTCTTGAAAACTGGTAACCTGATCCACGTAGTTCTCCAGCTGCTACTTACCCTTTTTACATTACGAGTGCCTATACTATCTGTATAATTTCATAATGCAATATCATCTTCAGATGTCTAAATAATATTAATGCTAGAGTTGGTAACATTTCTGTAATTCAGATAGAAAAATTTTGTATTTAATGTTCTTTAGTTAAAAGTCCAGAAAGGAAAGAAGCAGGTTCTTTATCAGACAGACACCATGTAGGGTATCTAGCAGCCCTGCTTCTGATGGGAAAATAGTCGAGTTAATCTTGGGAACCAGTGCAAGCAGAGCCCTAGGAAAATATCCTAGGAGCAAGAAGCAGCATGTTATTGTCCCCCTCAAAGACGTTTAGAAACGAGGTAACAGTGGTGAGACTTGCACACAAAAGGAGTTGTTAAACCTTGAGAGTAACGTCCCAATTTGTACTTAAACCAAACATAAATCTATATTTGCGAAGACAACAGTTAGCAGACTGATCTACTAAGGTTGCTAGAGCAACACATCAGACGTGGGTTTTACACGAGGAACATGCTTCTCAAACAGATCACATCTCACTGCATTTAAAAACCTGCAGGCACTTCCCTGTTGCCACTGTTGTGCTCCATACTTCCAGTGTAACCACTTAGGGCATTTTTAAAAAATTTATTTGTCCTTCACCTCCATTCATTGTTCTCTTCCTCACCTACTGACCCACATCCACAGGCATGAAGCCTTCAGTAGTTCATAAACTCTTTGCATAAAGCTCTATGGGTAGAAAGCAACCACATCCCAGTCTTCCAAGCAAACATATGAACACATCTTTTAAAAAAAAAAAAAAAAAAAAAAGCAAGCCCCCCGAAACAGAAAATTAAAGCAAACTACAATCTCATAATAAAAAAAATAATCAATTTGCCATCATGAGAGAGTTGCCTCTATTGCTTCGTTAAGCATTTTCTTATTTACCAGGAGAGCAAATGGGAAAAGCAAAATGTGGGGTTTTTTCCATGTTTTCTATTTCCTTTCAGATATTTAAACAACCACATGATTCAGAAGAAGAATACCAACAGAAAATGTCTTGCAACCTACTTCTAAACGATGGTTTGGATGTCTCCAGAAGTCCTGTTCTCTCACCTTGAAACGGTATGTTTTCAGCCACAGAAAACATTTGTCCATACCTAAATTAGTAGTAACCACATCAGTGTAAACTTCCAGGGCTTTGTCAGTCAATATTCCTTTGTTTGAAGCTGCTAGTAACGATGATAATAGTAATC